ATTTTCTCACAGATTCTGACTCCCAGCACAGCCATGAAGTGATGCCTCTCCTCTACCCTCTCTTTGTCTACCTCCATCTCAACCTGGTCCAGAACAGTCTGAAGAGCACAGTGGAAAGCTTTTACAGCCGCTTCCATGGAATGTTTCTGCAGAACGCCAGCCAGAAGGATGTCATCGAACAGCTCCAGACCACACAGACCATCCAGGACATCCTGTCTAACTTCCGGCTGCGAGCCNCAGACCACACAGACCATCCAGGACATCCTAACTTCCAGCTGCGAGACTTCCTGGACAACAAGTACTTGGTTCGTCTGCAGGAAGACAGCTACAACTACCTTCTCCGCTACCTCCAGAGTGACAACAACACCGCGCTGTGCAGGGTCTTCACCTGGCACATCCACCTGGACACGCAGCCTGACAAGAGGACCGACTACTAGCTCTACGCCAGCGGGGGCTCTACCCACAGCGAGGGCGGTGGCCTGGAGCCCCCCGACTTGCCGGCACCCATCCTGCAGAATGAGGCCGCGCTGGAGCTCCTGCAGGAGAGCATCAAGAGAGTCAAGGACGGCACCCCCTCGCTCACTACCATCTGCTTCTACACCTTCTACAACACAGAGCAGCTGCTGAACACTGCAGAGGTCTCCTGGACAGAAAGCTGCTTGCGGCAGGCTTCAACAATTCCTGTATAAAACTGTGGAGTCTGCGCTCCAAGAAGTTAAAGTCAGAACCCCATCAAGTAGACATGTCCTGCATCCACTTGGCTTGTGATATCCTCGAGGAGGAGGATGACAAGGACGACAACGCAGGCAAGGAGATGAAGGTCCTGTGGGGACCCTGCGGGCCAGTGTACAGCACCAGGTTTCTCGTGGACCGCTCGGGGCTGCTCTCCTGCTCCAAAGACATGTCCATCAGGTACTGGGACCTGGGCAGCTTCACCAACACCGTGCGGTACCAAGGCCATGCCTACCCCCTATGGGACCTGGACATCAGCCCGCACAGCCTGTAGTTCGCCAGCGGGTCCCACGACCGCACAGCCCGGCTGTGGTCATTTGATCGGACGTACCCACTGCAAATCTACGCCGGGCACCTGGCAGACGTGGACTGCATCAAGTTCCACCCCATTTCAAACTACTTAGCCATGGGCTCGACCAATAAGACGGTGCGGCTGTGGAGCACCCAGCAGGGGAACTCAGTGAGGCTCCTCACGGGCCACCACGGCCCTGTGCTCTCCCTGGCCTTTTCCGCCAAAGGTAAGTACCTGGCGTCTGCAGGCGAGGACCAGCGGCTGAAGCTGTGGGACCTGGCATCCGGGACCCTCTACAAAGAGCTGCGGGGCCACAAGGACAACATCACCAGCCTGACCTTCAGCCCGGACAGCAGCCTGATCGCGTCCGCGTCCATGGACAATTCCGTGCACGTCTGGGACATCAGAAGAGCGCACTGCAGCACCCCCATGGACGGCTCGTCCAGCAAGCTCGTGGGTGTCTACACTGGCCAGATGAGCAACGTTCTGAGCATGCAGTTTATGTCCTGCAATCTCCTGCTGGTGACCGGAATCACACAAGAAAGTCAGGAACATTGATTTGGATCTTTGATATGATAGACTGGGGCATACGAAGGGCTCCAGACGGCAAGTCTTAGGACAGACAGAATCACTGACTGACTGTGAAAGACTCCCCATGTCCCCCCTTGCCCTGCCGGTGTCCCGAACCCACCACTCTCCACTCAGCCCCCAGGTGTGGAAGCACAGGGGCAGGAAGGGTGGTGACGGGGAGCAAAGGTGAGATAGGAATCACAGAGATCCCACTGTGTCCTCGTGTGGCCCCTCCGTATCTCTGGCACCAAGGTGCCCTTGCCTCGCTGGGGCTGCACTTGACCTGAGGATGTTTACCAGGCACCCTCCCCAGGAGCAGTGCCGCAGGGTCACCGGGTGGAAGGGACTCTCTCCAGGGAGGAATGCGGGGGTGAGAGTTAGGCAAGGGGGCAGGGTCATCCTGGCAAATGTTTTTCCTTTTCTGTGATTACAGAGAACCAGGACTGTTTACTATTGTTATTATAATTATTACTGAGAAGAGGAGACCTAGCACTGGCAGAGGGGGTTTCTCTGCTCTCATCTTTCAGGTCTTAACTCCTGGCACTGGCTGTGACACTTGGAGTTTTGAGGTTCAGGGAATTGAGAGAACTTGGTCACACAGTGTGTTGGGAGAAAGGGAAATCTCTTGAGTGACAGCTGGATCACTCCAGCTGAAACGTTTCTGGAAGTGGGTGGGCGGATTTGACTCAGAAGGTCTTGGGCTCTTGCAGCAGTGGTGTGAAAGAAAGATTCTTTTTGTGGCTGCACTTCTGTTAACAATTCTCTCCCCCAAAAGGTCGGATTGTGGTAAAGAAATGAAAGTGATTAGAAGTGAAAAGTCAAAAGAAAGAATTAAAAAATGTTGAATTAAAAAAAAATGCCAATAGAATTTTTCACAGAATTAGAACTTTTTTTTTACAATTTGTGTAGAAACATAAAAGAGCCCAATTAGGCAAAGCAATCTTGAGACATAAAAACAGAGCTGGAGGAATCAGGCTTCCTGACATCAGACTATACTACAAAGCTACAGTAATCAGTACAGTGATATTGGCACAAAAATACAAATACCAATCAATGGTAGAAAAAGGAAAGGCCAGAGATAACATCTATACACCTATGGTTGTCTAATCTATAACAAGGGAGGATAGAACATGCAATGGAGAAAAGATAGTGTATTCAATAAGTGATGCCAGGAGAGCCCTATAGTTACATGCCAAATCATTAAATTGGAACACTACCTGACATCATACAAAGAAATAAAGTGGGTCAAAGATCTAATGTTAGACCAGACACTATAAAATTCATAGAGGAAAACAGGAAAACACTCTTTGACATAAATCACAGCCTTTTTAGACATCTGGTATAATAGTGAAAATAAAAATGAACAAATGGGAGATAATCTTTAACCCCTTTCCATTGAAAAGGAAACCATAAACAAAATTAAAAGACACCCCTCAGAATGAAAGAATTTATTTGAAAACAAAGTAACAAAGGATTCATCTTCAAATTACACAAAGAGCTCATGAAGTCAGTATCAAAATGCAAACAACCTAACCAAAAAATGGGCAAGGGAACCCCCAGTGTTCTAGTGGTTCAGAATCCCACTGCAAATGCAGGGGTCAAGGATTTGATCCCTGCTCTGCAAAGACTCCACTTGCCAAGGCGCAACTAAGCCTATGCACCACAACTACTAACACCACACACTGCAACAACTGAAACCTGCAAGCCCTAGAGCCTTGCTCTGCAACAAGAGGAGATGCCACAATGAGAACTCCTCATGCTGGAACTAGAGAGGACCCCACTCACCACAATTAGAGAAAAATCCATGCACATCAAGGAAGACACAGTGCAGCCAAAACTTAGTAAATGCAAAAAATAATCATAAAAGGGCAAAAGACCTAAACAGACATTTCTCCAAAGATAATATACAGATGGCCAATAGGTACAAGAAAATATATGTAATATCCCTAATTATTAGACAAATGCAAATCAAAACTAATGAAGTATCATGCCATACCATCAAATGTCTACATTGATGTCACCATCAAATGTCTACAAATAGCAAATGCTGGAGAGGATGTGGATGGAAGGGAACCCTGCTACACACTTCATGTGAATGTAAGTTGGCGCAGCCACTATGGGAAACAGTATGGAAGCTCCTCAGATAAGTAAAACTAAAATTATCAAATGATCCAGAAATTCCATTCCTGGGCATAAACCCAGACAAAAGAGTAATGTCACAATATATATGCACTCCAATGTTCAAAGCAGAATGATTCACAATAGCCAAAATACAAACACATCCTTAATCTCCACTGACAAATGAATGAATAAACAAGAAGTGGTATGTATATAAAACCCTATAGTACTCAGCCATAAAAAATTGAAATGATGTCATTTGCAGCAACATGGATGAACTGAGAGATTATCATACAAAGTTAAATAAGCCATACAGAAAAAGAGAAATACCAAATGACACCACTTATATGTGGAGTCCAAGTATGACACAAATGAACATATCTATGAACAGAAACAGACTCATGGAAACAGAGAACAGACCTATGATTTCCAAGAAGGAGGGGGTTGGAGTGGGAAGAATAGTAGGTTGAGGTTAGCAGATGTAAACTATTAGATATGGGGTGTGTAAACAGCAAGATCCTACTGTCGAGCAAAGAGAACTATATCCAGTATCCTATGATAAACCATATTGGAATAAAATATAAAAAAGAATGTATATGGGACATCCCTGGTGGTCTAGTAGTTATGACTTCACACTTCCACTGCATGGGGTGTGGATTCAATCCCTGGTCAGGAAACTAAGACAAAATACCCTGAAGCAGAACCAGAGGGGAAATTTTTTAAGATTAAAAAATGTGTATATATATATACACACACACACACACACAATTTTTTATACATACATATATGTGTATAACTGAATCACTCTGCTGTAAAGCAGAAATTAACACAGTATTGTATACTGCAATAAAAAAACATGAAAGGGGAAAAAAAAGATTGGTGCATTTCATTGTATGTAAAGTTGATGTCCAAAGAAAAGTTCTTTAAATAAATATTGCTTACTACTTCATGGCAGGCTTGCAGAAATACTTGTGGAGATGCATCCTGCTGTTTGCAATTTATCACAAAATATACAAAGGAATAAGATGCATTGATGGATGGATAGAGGGATGGACACATAAATAGACACATGAGAAAGGAAATAAATTACAGTGGAATCTAGGTGGGAAGTCTGTGTATTAGCTAGAAAACATGTTCAACATTGTTTAACATTTGGAAATTTTTATAATAAAGTGTTACAGAAAGTACAGAGCAAAGAACAATGAAAACCAAAGTGCACATGAAATATTATTTCAAACATTAAAAATATGAGCTAGGACGGGGGGGAGGGGGTGGCGCGCGCGCCCTTTCTAGTCGTTTTCAAAGTGCCTCGCGCTGGTTCTCACTGGCCCGGCCACCGGCCCCAGCTCTGCCCTGCATAATAAAATGGCTAATCAGGTGAATGGTAATGCAGTACAGTTAAAAGAAGAGGAAGAACCAATGGATACTTCCAGTGTGAATCACACAGAACACTACAAGACACTGATAGAGGCAGGCCTCCCTCAGAAGGTGGCAGAAAGACTTGATGAAATATTTCAGACAGGATTGGTAGCTTATGTCGATCTTGATGAAAGAGCAATTGATGCTCCCAGGGAATTTAATGAAGAAGGAGCTCTCTCTGTACTACAGCAGTTCAAGGAAAGTGACTTATCACATATTCAGAACAAAAGTGCATTTTTATGTGGAGTTATGAAGACCTACAGGCAAAGGGAGAAACAGGGGAGCAAGGTGCAAGAGTCCACAAAGGGACCTGATGAAGCAAAGATCAAGGCCTTGCTTGAAAGGACCGGTTATACCTTGGATGTAACCACAGGACAGAGGAAGTATGGTGGTCCTCCCCCAGACAGTGTGTACTCTGGCGTGCAACCTGGAATTGGAACAGAAGTCTTTGTAGGTAAAATACCAAGAGATTTATACGAGGATGAATTGGTGCCCCTCTTTGAAAAGGCTGGTCCCATTTGGGATCTGCGTCTTACGATGGATCCACTGTCTGGTCAGAACAGAGGGTATGCATTCATCACCTTCTGTGGAAAGGAAGCCGCGCAGGAAGCTGTTAAACTGTGTGACAGCTATGAAATTCGCCCTGGTAAACACCTTGGAGTGTGCATTTCTGTGGCAAACAACAGGCTTTTTGTTGGATCAATTCCGAAGAATAAGACTAAAGAAAACATTCTGGAAGAATTCAGTAAAGTCACAGAGGGTTTGGTGGACGTTATTCTCTATCATCAACCCGATGACAAAAAGAAGAATCGGGAGTTCTGCTTCCTTGAGTATGAGGATCACAAGTCAGCAGCACAAGCCAGACGCCGGCTGATGAGTGGAAAAGTAAAAGTGTGGGGAAATGTAGTTACAGTTGAATGGGCTGATCCTGTGGAAGAAACAGATCCGGAAGTCATGGCTAAGGTGAAAGTTTTATTTGTGAGAAACTTGGCTACTACAGTGACAGAAGAAATATTGGAAAAGTCATTTTCTGAATTTGGAAAACTTGAAAGAGTGAAGAAGTTGAAAGATTATGCATTTGTTCATTTCGAAGACAGAGGAGCAGCTGTTAATTATAACTTCACACCTTTTTGAAACCTGCCCTACAAAATTTGTTTGGCTTAAACGTCAAAGCCGTGACAATTTGTTCTTTGATGTGATTGTATTTTCAATTTCTTGTTCATGTAAGATTTCAATAAAACTCAAAAATCTATTCAAAACAAACAAAAAAAAATATGAGCTAAAAATGATGCAGAGGAGATAGGCTAAAATATTGTGTGCTCAGTCCCTCAATCGTGTCTGGTTCTTTTGCAACCCCATGGACTGTAGGCTGTTGGGGGCCTCTCTCTATAGCATACTCCAAGCAAGAATACTGGAGTGGATGACTATTTCCTCCTTTATGTAATCTTCCTGACCCAGGGATCTAACTCTTGACCCCTGCATTTGCAGGTGATTTCTTTACTACTTAGTATCCAAGGAAGCCACAACATATGAACTGTAGTGAAATTAAACATGATTTTTTTTTTCATATTCTGTGCACTGATCAAAGTCTTTCCCCAATATCCACAGAATACATTTTCCATAATAAAAGTAGCATCATCTTCCCTCTGGCACAAGGAAGACAGGCCTACTGGGCACAGGCCTGCTTGTGGTCCCCTCCTTGTGTCCTTAGCTGTGTGAACCTGCTGGGGCTCCTAAAGCCCTCCAATCATAGCTCTAGAGATATGTCCCCATTGGCTTCAAGGAGCTGACCAAGCCTATGGCTGATTCATCTGTTTGGAGTCCGAGGTGCAGCCACACCTGTCCTAGCTCCATCTTGGCCCATCATGGCGGTACCCTCTTCCACTATACATATGTATATGTATATAATTTCAGGATAAAATAAATAGTTTACTGAAAAGTACATGCAACATGGCTGTACAAAAAGCACACAGGTGAAGTCAGAGAGTTACTGCTCCTCCCAGCAATCTTTCAACCTACACCCTCTAGTTTCTGACATTTTCTCGGTTATTTAAATTTCTTAATTTAAGTGATCTTTGCCCAGTAGGTAAAAAGGGGAAATTTACACTTTGTACAAAAATTCCAACATGGGTAAATAAATAATAAACAGGAATTACAAAATGACAAATGAGAAATATTTGGAAGATAGCTGACAAAGGGCACATTTACCTAATTTATGCAGAGTTCAAAAGTTAAATTAAGAAAAGAAGATGGAAAAGCCAAATAGAAGACAAACATGAAGTAAACAAAGGGAACACAGAAGTAAAAATTACTCAGAAGAAAAATAAGAAAAATTACCAAAAACAGGAGGAAACGTTGAAATTAATTGCTCAGGAAGGAAATGCAAACCAGAACGATAGTGGAATATGATTTCCCACCATACAAATTGCCAAAAGTTCAGTGAAAGTGTTGTGTGATACCAAACATTTCCTCCAGCTTGAGGATAAGAGGTTGTGAAATGACTGCCGATGCATTGTTTTGGAAGCATAAAGTGATGCAAGTTTCAGAAGGACTATTTAGCAGTAGTAAATTTATCGGAGAAGGCAATGGCACCCCACTCCAGTACTCTTGCCTGGANATAAAGTGATGCAAGTTTCAGAAGGACTATTTAGCAGTAGTAAATTTATCGGAGAAGGCAATGGCACCCCACTCCAGTACTCTTGCCTGGACAAGCCCATGGACAGAACAGGCTGGTGGGCTGCAGTCCATGGGGTCGTGAAGAGTCAGACATGACTAAGCAATTTCACTTTCACTTTTCACTTCCATGCATTGGAGAAGGAGATGGCAACCCACTCAATTTGCCTGGAGAATCCCGGGGACGGCGGAGCCTGGTGGGCTGCCGTCTGTTGGGGTCACATAGAGTCGGACACGACTGAAGTGACAGCATCAGCAGCAGCAGTAAATTCTTAAATGCATGGAGTCACTTAGCAAGACCTTGTTTGGAGTTTACATTGCAGAAGTATTTATGCAGATTATTTATATGATGTTCAGTGCAATTTTTTTCCCCCATCATCCTAGAAAATCCCCTTCCACATACTGTCTTTCCCCAATGCATCCCCTGTTCTCACTCTATCAGAATAGATTAGTTTTGCCTCATCTAGAATTTTCTATAAATGGAGCCTACAGTATGCACATATATATTTGCTTTACAATGTTGTGTTAATTCCTTGTGTAAAGTAACTCAGTAAATACACCTGCCTTTTTCAGTTTCTTTCTCAGTTAGGTCACCACAGAGCATTGAGGCCAGTTACTAGTGCTACACAAATAGTTCTCATTAGTTATCAAGGCATTATTCTCCAAAATATACAAACAGCACATGTAGCCCAGTATTAAAACAAAAACAAAAAAAACCTCAATCAATAAATGGGCAGATCTAAATAGACATTTTTCCAAAGAGGATATACAGATGACAAACACTGAAAAAGATGCTCAACATCACTAGTTACCAGAGGAATGCAAATCAAAACTACAATAAGGAAATATTTCACACCAGTCTGAATAGCCCTCATAAAAAAATTCTATGAACAATTATTTGAAGAGGGTGTGGAGAAAAGGGAACCCTCTTGCACTGTCTGTGGGCATGTCAATTGGTACCACCACTATGGTGAACTGTATGGCAGTTCTTTAGAAAACAAAAAACATAATCACAGTATGACCTACTCCTGGGCATATTTGCCAGGAGAAAACCTTAATTCAAAAGGATGCATGCACCCCAGTGTTCATTGCATCACTGTTTACCATAGACACGACATGGAGCATTTTTTAATTACAGCAAAAATGAAAGAAAAAAAAAAAAACACCTTTAAGCAAACAGTGTCAAAACATGGGGTCAAAATACTAGGTCTTTTACTTTACTAGGACTTTTACTAGGCAAAAGTAGAGGCTAAAAATAGGTCAACAAAGCTAGAGTCATGTATCAGAACCAAGTTCTATGTTAGCATTCAAAAGCAGAAAAGATGATTTTATACTAAAAGTACTATGGATGAACACCCTCATCTTTTTATCTCCACATCCAAGGAACACAGAATTCTGAGCAAATGGTAACTGAGATCATGGGTAATTTTTTTCTTTCTTTGTATTTGTCTAGGAGCTTTACGTTTTCTGTTATGAGAATGTACTAATTTTTAATAGTTATGGAGTATCTTTTTCAATATGTAAAGAGTACATCTACATTTTATAACTTACATTCATAAACATGCTTCTATTTCTCCATGAGACAGCAGCATAAGCACAATAAATATTTATTCATACATATACTTATGAGTGAATATTACCAAATTTTTGTTTTCCCTTAAGAGGTCATCATATGCACAGGAAGTATTTATTCATACTTACATAAACATATGAGAGAATACATCTAGATTTTATGAATTACATCTATAAGCATTCCTTCTATTTATCAATGAGAAGGCAGCTAAAGTTCAGTAAATATTTATTCATACCCACTTTGGCCACCTGATGAGAAGGACTGAGTCATTGGGAAAGACCCTAATGCTGCGAAAGATTGAACATGGAAGGAGAGAGGGATGACAGAGAATGAGATGGTTAGATGGCATCACAAACTTGATGGATATGAGCTTGAGCAACCTCCAGGAGTTGGTGATGGACAGGGAAGCCTGACGTCCGTTGAGTCACAGTCACGACTGAGCAACAACTAAACTGAACTGACATATATATATATATGAGAACACATTTGCATTTTATAAATTACATTCGTAAGCATTGTTCTCTTTCTCCGTGAAAGGGGCAGCATAAGCACCATAAATATTTATTCATATATATATATATGAGAGAATATATCTGGATTTTATAATTACATTCATTAGCATTCTTCTATTTATCCACGAGAGGGCAGCATAAGCAAAACAGATATTGACTTATACATACATACACTCTGCAGTGTCCATTGGACTGCAAGGAATCAAACCAGTCAATGCTAAAGGAAATCAGTCCTGAATATTCATTGGAAGGACTCATGCTGAGGCTGAAACTCCAATACTTTGGCCACCTGATACTGAATGCAAACTAGTACAGTCACTCCAAGGAACAGTGTGGGGATTCCTAAAAAACTGGAAATAGAATTACCATATGACCCAGCAATCCCACTGCTGGGCATTAAACCCTGAGGAAAACAGAACTGAAAGAGACATGTATACCTCACTGTTACTGATAATCAAAGCTAGGACATGGAAGCAAACTAGATGTCCTTCAGCAGACGAATGGATAAGAAAGCTGTGGTACATGTACACAATGGAATATTACTAAGCTATTATAAAGAACACATGTGAATACTTTCTAATGAGGTGGATGAAACTGAAGCCTACTTTACAGAATGAAATAAGTTAGAAAGAAAAATACCAATAGAGTATATTAATGCATATATACAGAATTTAGAAAGATGGTAACAATGAGCATATATGCAAGACAGAAAAAGAGACATAAATAAAAACAAACTTTTGGACTCTGTGAGAGAAAGCCAGGGTGGGATGTTTTGAATGACTAGCATTGAAATGTGTATATTACTGTATGTGAAATAGATCACCAGTCCAACTTTGATGCATGACACAAGGCGCTCAAGCCCTATGTAATGGAAAACCCTAAGGCATGGAGGGGATTCAGGATTATGAACACATGTACACCCATGACTGATTCAAATTAATGTATGCAAAAAACACCACAGTATTACAAAGTAATTAGCCTCCAAATAAAGTAAACAAGTTAATATATACATATATATGTTGTCTACAGGAAACCCACTTCAGACCTAAAGACACATATAGACTGAAAGTGAGATGATGGAAAAATATATGCCATCCAAGTGGGAAGCAAAAGAAAGATGGAGTAACAATGCTCATATCAGACAAAAATAGACCTTAAGCTAAAGAAGATTATAAGAGATAAGGAATGACACTACATAATGATCAAGGGATTAATCCAATAGGAAAACATAACAATTGTAAATATATAGGCACACAACATAGGAGCACCTCAATATATAAGACAAACACTAACAGACATAAAAAGAGAAATTGACAGTAGCATAATTATAGTCACCCCACTCATACCAAAGGATGGATCATCATAACAGAAAATTA